ATATATATATATATACAGTATATATATCTTACAATCCATTTAATTCATGTAAAATTATTTCATAATTTACATGTAATTAATTTTTTTGTTTGTTTTTGTATTTAGAATTTTAGATATAATTTTTAGAATTTTAGTATAAAAGAATATTATGTATATAATTTTTGGCCACAGAATGCAGCAACTGACCAATCATAATCAAGTATTCCAGAGGCCCTTGTAATTAATTGTTAAAATTAAGCAAATACGCCTGTGTGTGTTTATCCATATACAGGGTTCTTAGAAAGTGTTTCCGTTTATTCCAGTTCTGTTTGTGTTTTTAAGACTATTAAGCATTCTTAAGCTGTACGGCACACAGAGGAAGATTTACAAGCCGCCCGCTCAAGGATCAGTTTCAGGTCATTAGTGGAGTGTTGCTACGTGTCCGGTTTCAAATTAATAGCGCCTAACAATCGATTGCGATGCTCTGAATGAGCAAAGGCACCGACCCTGACCAACGCAGACAATTAGACAATGAACATTTACCAAAAAAAACTATATTTACCCATGTTGCATAAGCCTCACCCTTGAAAAGCGATGCCATTCAGGACTGTAAACAATGTCAGCGGGTCTTTCTGTGAGGTAAGTCGTTATTTATAATGCACTCTTATCAGAGGTTGTTATTTTCGACCCACAGGTGAAAACAATAGCCTGGAGATGTACGGCGCAAGAGGTCGTTTAAAGTGTTTGTTAGTGTTTGTTTTTATTATGTATTTGTGCGGCGGTAAGAGTCCTCTGGCAGGATGCCATCAGCGGGTAATTGTTTTGGGTCGTGTGTGTGTGTGTGTGTGAGAGAGACTGGAAATGGCAAAAGGCACCAGGCCATGGTCGAGTAGCACATATACTGTAGTCTAGTTTTAGACGCTGCCACCCATTTACGCTGCCACCCACTGATTGGCTGGATGGTGTACTGTGTGGTGAATATGCATTTACACATGCTTTGGGAGTTAATATTATTGTTATCAAGGTGCAACTGTATGATTTTGTAAACCAGATTTCCGTATGTATGATAGTTATTAAAGAACAAAGAATCTTGAAGTGACTTATGAGTTTGAGAATCTTAAAAAGAGTCAATTCACATACATTTAGAATTGTAAATGTCACTAAAACATCTGTTAAATGCTGTTCTAACATATAAACAACATCAAATAAATGTTTGGTTGAAATATGTGCGCTACCAGAGAGAATGTTCCAGTAACTGCATGCTGACTTATGTTATCTTTAAAAACCCAGAGAGATCGTTTGACAAGTAGAGTTTTTGTTGAAACAGGAAGTTTGAGGAGGGATATCAAAGGCCTCCATTTGTTTTTTAATATATAATATGTTTTAGTTATGTTACAACTGAGAACATGATTTTCTTCATGCTAATTGTGGAATCATGAAGTGGACCTTTTTAATTATTAGGAGCATTTGATTTGTTGAAAATCGCTGTAGTGCAGGATGAGTCATCAGTACTTTTCATCTGTTTTCCTTGGACAGAAAAAGTAAAAAAATATATTTACATTTCTATTATTAGAAACTATTTCTATGATTTAATACTCTGAAATACTCAATTAAGACTGGTCAGTTGTATTTAATATATTATTTATAATTATTTAATTTAATATTTTTATAAATGTAATGCATAATAAAATTATACATATATTTATTTATATATAATGTTTTTACTTGCATATGGTATTAACTTTATTTAAATCTTAAAAACTAAATTTATAATATAATATATATAATGTTTTTACTTGCATATGTTATTAACTTTATTTAAATCTTAAAAACTAAATTTATAATATAATATATTGTATTGTATATTGTATACATGTAGTTATTAAAATATAATGCATATTATAATGATATAGTACATATTATAGATGTATCTGTTAAAATTAATTTATGTAAAATAATATTTATACACACACACACACATATACATACATACATATTACATACTGTATATATACAGTATATATAAAACAATCCGTCCAAAACAGCGCTAATATAAAGGAAACCAGGCTTATTACATCAGAGACTGCAGAGAGAACAGAGACTCGCGTTGCGTTTTGTGTTTCGCTTTTAATCACGAGCTCTGTCATATTCTGTGATTGAATAAAAGTTTGTTTACATAATATATGTATGTGTACTGTGTATATAAATACACACACATACAGTCTATATTTTGAAAATATTTTCATGTATATACATTTATATAATTATATTAATAAATATATACATGCATGTGTTTGTATTTATATATATAATAAATATACACAGTACACACTCATATATTATGTAAACAAAAACTTTCATTTTGGATGTGATTAATCGCGATTAATCGTTTGACAGCACTAGTTTTAATCAAGGATTCCAGATGTACATAGTCATGACCAAACAATCCGTTACTCTGCAGACACTGTGGTTAGGCGTCGTAGAGAGAGAGTTGAAATAAGGACAGTGAACTGCATACAGGGCGATGCTCTTTCAACATGATTAATGAGCAAAACAAATTTAGTAATCACATAAATACCGAAATGAAGTCAGACTCAGCAATCAGCAGCCCATTGTGTATTTCGGTCCTCGTCACACAATACACAAACGCCATGTGTTATTTTTCAACAGGAGAAGATGAAAAGCAAGAATAAGTTGGTCCCGCGTCTGCTGGGCATTACCAAAGAGTCAGTGATGAGGGTGGAAGAGAAGACCAAAGAGGTGGTGCAGGAGTGGCCCCTCACCACAGTCAAGAGGTGGGCAGCCTCACCCAAGAGCTTCACATTGGTACGTTACATTATTCACTCCATTTAACACAAGCCACAGTGTGTTTGGATTCTTCCTTAGATTCTGCATTCACTTTATCTGCTCAGTAGGTTTATATAGTTCTGTATACAGTGAATAAAAGTATGAAAGTATTGGGTTTGGTCACTTAATATTGTCATGGTAGCTGCCTTCAAACAAATTATGTTTGTGTGACAAATACTTTTTTGGACCCATTGTGTGTGTGTGTTTTGTTTTGTTTTTTACTTTATATTTCAATTGTAATAAGAAATTACAATACATTTTAAATGTAATGCATACATGTATATATTTGTATATAATATTTCTGTTTACTAGTTACATTTTTATATTTAAATCTTAAAAATGTATATTATAATACATAATATTATAGAAGTATCTATTGAAATATTATGTTTCTATTTCAATGTTTTTTTACTTTATATTTCAATCTTAATATATACGAAATTACAATAAAATAAAATATAATCCATAATAATAGTACACATGTATCTGTTTTATATAATATTTCTATTATATTGTTATTGTATGCTTTATATTTACATCTTAAAAACTATATTTATGTATATAATATAATATAATATAATACATAATGATATTGTACATAGTCAAACCAAAATTTATTCAGACACATTCAACATTTCTCATGCATTATCACAGTTTATTCGCTATAGTTTAGAAAATGGTAATAAAATATGACAAGAACTCAGAGTTAAAATGTGTCAGAACAAATTCATCTTGATAATGTCAGATAACTTTGATAGAAAGGTATGTAATGAATTTGGTTGAGTAGCTGTCGGCTGTTAAATTTAATTACACAATTAGACAATACCAATTTAGGTCAACCAATTACTAAGCAATGCTTAATTTTGTTCAGTCTTTGGTGTAAAAAGGTTGCATTAGCAATTAAATAAAAACACTTAAGCAAAACATGGTCAGGTCAAAGTGTCTGAATAATTTTTTGTCCCAAATTTTTATCAGCTTTACTGGTAGTCCACTGTATGAAGAATTTTTGGGTATAATATGTCACAGTTTACTTTATTTTGCTATCCTCACTTACGTAAATGAAATATAGTGTCCTGCACCCAGTAGTAAAAAAATATCAAAAATTATATCTGGTGTCTGAATAATTTTTGGTTTGACTGTATGTCTGTTTAAATATAATGTTTCTATTTATGTTATTTTATACCCTGTATTTAAAAGTAAACTAAATTTATAATGTAATACATAATATTATAGTGTAGAATAATGTTATAGTATGTCATCATACTAATATATAATATTATGTTAAAATATTAATTTAGTTTTTATATATGTGTAAATATATTAAAGTTTGTTTGGCAAAGATGAAAGAAATTTAAGTTTGCTGCATTTGAATTTGTTGTGTTAATTTATTATTATTCTATTTATTTATTTGTATGACTGTTCTTAATACCTGTATATGTTTTCACACATTTATATTGAGCAGTTTTGACGTAACCGCTAATATCATTGTAAAGTAGAGCTGCCCTCGACTAAGGATTTTTCTGGTCGACTAGTAGTCGTTCATTTTAAGCATTAGTCGACTAATCGCACGATTATTAATAAACCATTTAAAATTGATATAATGAGCCTTT